AATAGAAAGTTTAAAAGAACTACATTCATTTGAAAAATAAATCTTTACTAACAAAATAAATGTCACTTTTGATCAATTTAATGCATCATTGCTGAATTAAAGAATTGCTTTTTAAAAAAATCCTTAATGACTACATTTTTGACCTGTAGTGTATGAACAGTTATAGTAATATTAGCCTTGTATTTAGAAGCTATAGGTTATGCATGATTATGTATAAGTCAAGAATTGTAAGGATTAATGCTGTGTGAATGCTATCATGTGTGTTGACCTTTTTAAAATGTGTTATATAGTAAACAATCTCATATCCTATCTAAGCAATGTGTGAAGGTCTATGATTTTGAGCATGGATAGGACAGAATGCAGCCCATTGTGTCATCCAGAGCAAATGAGAGGTTTGAGATGAATGTTGGCTGTAATGTACGATATAGGAGTGAGTGGTGAGCCATGCTGGAGTGTGTGTGGTAGTGATTTCTCTGCGCTCTCATTACTGCTTTGAGAGAATGTGCACTCGTTTGTCTCTGTGTGCCGCTCTCTGCCCTATGCTTCAGGCCACTTTCATTAGTCTCTTTGGCTCTTCCTCTTTTGCCTTCATTTCCTGCTCGTCCCATTTGCTGTTTCCCATTCTTAAAATAATCTTTATTTTTCTCTACATGACTCTGTTTGGCTCCATACTGCTTCATTTCTTTATCCTCTTCTACCTTTCTCGCTCAAACTGACCCTGTTGATATGGAGAGGCTGCTTGTCTCTCATTAGTGTGAGGATGATGTCTGTGTGTCTTAATGAGTGTTAAAACACAAGCTACGGCGGAGACACGACAACGAGACATGACTTCTGATAGGTTCTGTTTTTTTACCATCCACCAAGAAGCAGCAGATGCCAAGATTTTTCTAGACTTTTTACAAGGAGTGAGAGAAAGAGGCAGAAAAAATAGAAGCAGGATGTGGTACTACAGAGACAAAGCGGTAAGCAGCAGTGACAGTCATGTTCTATCTAATAGTGAAGTACTCCTTTTAATATGCTACTGCATGCATTCTGTAAGCCAGACTTTAAATGCAACAGTCAATTTAAAAAGATCACCATTTGAATCATTTATCTCTGGCCAATAATTCTAAAAACTTTCAATTATTATTACAAAAACATTCAAATCTGTCCATCCTTTCAGCTTCCCTCAAGCGCCTGTGAAGCAAACACACACTGCGGGAAAAATCTGAATGCCACGTTCCTTTCATCAGTACACAGTTAGTTCCTCCACAGTTAGGCTCATAAAAACTCGCTCACGTCCAGACTGTGCCATCAGAGAGAGAGACACTCTTATTCCTCTCTTCAAATAGAACAGGGCTGAAATACCAGTTTCTGA